CAATAAATTGAAGAGAATTCTGCAGACATACAACAGAAAAGGAGCATAAAATATTGGCTTGTGCACTTCTTAGAATGTTAGTTCATTAACTTGATAAGCTGCACAGGGAAAAACGCAGCCAAAATCTACAAAGATGTCCATTGGGATTTCACATTGGCATATTTACTCAGCAAGAAATAGCTAGAGGTTGGAGGGGGAAATATGCATCCCGTTCTGGTAACGACGATTTAGTGTGAATCTCCGGAAAGACACCTTGTTGAAAAATCTCCATGTGGACTCTAAGGGTACACACGGAAGCCCAAAGCCCCAAGGACAGATGTAAATATCACACTCCATCATCCCTGTCCTGGGGAAGGGTTCTACGAAATTACACAAGAAAATCAGCCTTTCACATCTACTTTCACACATAATTCAACATAAACTGGAAAAATGTTTTAATTTTTCCTGCTTATTGCCCAAAATGTTTTTTAATACTTTATTGGAAACTTTCATTTACTGGTGTGTGCTCTAAATCTGTATTACTCATCAGTATAAAATCATTACAACATATTTGTTGGGCAATACTTCCAATGGACTCTGTCTTCTATGTTTAGAAGTTCATTAGCAGTCTTTTTGGGAGAAAACTCTAGTAACTGAACCCCATGTAGGTCAGGTACTGTGCTAGGCTCTTTCATATACTTCATCTTATTTGACCCACCCAGGAAGGTACAAATCATAATCCCCACTGACAGATGAAAAAGGTGAGGGTCAGAGAGGTTCCCTGCCTTGCTCAAGTAATTAATCCTGAATTAACAATAACAAGGGCCAGTATTTGAACTCTGGACAGTTCAGCTCTACGGCTGTTTATCTTTCCCTTCCTGCTCTCCTTGCCAGTTCTCCAAAAAATGATTTAAGTTAAACCAAGAACATTCTCTATTCCTATAGACTGTGGGTATTTCCTTTGAAAAACATAATTCAAGGTATTTCAGACAAAAAAAGAACTCAGGACACAGGCACTAAATTGCCATCTCTCTCCGATGGGTGAAGTTGAGCTAGCTGGGGTGCATTCTTAGGCTCTTTGTTTACAGCATGTGAACCCAGTAGGAACAGAGGTCAGGCTGTGCAACAGAGGCTACAAACCAGTGGTCAATTCACCTGCACATGTGCTTCACTGGACCCACAGAGTGTTTAAAACCATTGAACCAGCTTTCCAAAATCCACAGATTTCACATAAAGAGATTCACATGTTACGGCAATCAGAAGATCTCTTGACCGAGGCCCACCTTTAAGGCAACAGTCATCCAACATTTGGTGGTCCCTACACCTTTTGATGAGGCATGGACTCTTGATTCCCCGTGATCCCCACCACTCTCTATTACATTCATACATTCAGGCCACTGCAGTTGTGAATTTCATTATGTTTATGTTACTGTTTTTCTTATAAAAGAGAACCATTTCTTCAAACCTTGTCCCTTTTGACAGGCTGAATGACTGCACTGCCCCTTTACTATGTTCTCTCTGTGAGTAGAGTGCATTTCCCTAATCCTTTGTCTCCATTTCTCAGACCAACTGGTTGAATCTCTTCAATCTCTCTTGGAAGATTATCCAAAAGCCATTACTATTTCAGGCAACACTCAACCTTAGAGTTTTCTGGATGTAATGCCTATTTGGTTGTTTGGAATCATGAAGCCAGGGCATCCAACCATTACAAAACACTGATGTAGAGAAAAATAAATTTTGTAAGAGCCAGTCGTATAACCACCAACTAATCAACCAATCAACCAACCAACCAACTAAACCAGATCCCAGGTGACTGAAACTTAAAGGGCTTAACAGGCTAACTTATAAACAGGAAGCACTTAAAACAACAGCAGCATAAAAAACCAACTGCCCCCAGAAAGGAAAGTTCTGCCTTCAGAGGCAGTAATTGCTGCATCCGAGTCCATCTGCTTAACAATGCAGGAAAGGGGGAGTTTCACTCTCTATTAACCTTAACCAGAGACATTTTCATCAAAATTAATCGTGATTACTTTTTATTGCATTTCAAATGCTATCCATTATTTGGGGTGGTCAGGAATGCAACTAAGCAATTCCAGACCATGCTATCTTTTATGAATAGGTCTATGAGGTAGTTACCAAGGCCCCTTATGAAAATATTGCTATACAAAAGTTCAGGGGTCAAAACAAGACATTAATTTCCATAACTGGATGTGTTCTTAGAAAGGAAAAAAAATGACTATATATAGAAAAGACAGAAACTTTGATGTTCATTGCATATCAGAGAACTGTATAAATACTCATGTGTATCATGGACAATTTTTTAAATGTTTCTTTTACCTTTTCCTTATTATTATAATAACAATTAATCATCAACACTTACTTTGAGCATAGCTTGTATCAAGTACAATCTTAAATTTTTTATATGCATTGGCACTTTATTTTTACTTATTATTTATTTTTTTTAGACCTTACCCAAGGATATGCTCACCTAATGGTTGCCTTTCACATGTGCCCCGACCGGGGATCAAACCAGCAACCTACGTATGTGCCCTGACCGGGAATCGAACCTGCAACCTTTCGGTGTACGGGAGGATGCTCCAACCAACTGAGCCACACTGGCCTGGGCTGCACTGACACTTTAATCCTCACAACAACTCTGGAGTAGATGCAATTATTATTCCCATTTTATAGACTTATGGAAGTTGAGTAACCTGACCAAAGACATTCGGCCAGTAAATTTTGAAACTTGGAACAAATCCTAGGCATTCTACCTCCACAATCGGTTAAAGAAATATAGTAACAATACTTACCTTATTGTCACAATGATCGGTTGGCCTGTTATGTTTTGTGCGCCGACTGTATCTTGCTCTGTACAACCTCAGTACCTTTGGTGATAGTCCTCCTGCCTGGAGGGCCTTCCCTACTGCTCTCTCCCTCCCATGTCAAACTCATTCAGCTCCAAACCCACTTGTTCCATGAAGACTCTGCCACCCAAAGTTTTCTTGCCTCCCCCCTCTTAATTCTCCAGAACTCTCACCATATCCATAATCTTCCCCATATGACACTGTTGTGGAAAAAAAAACCAACCAGAGGTAGTTTTACCTGCTCAGCACCCTTCTGGTAACAGAACTCTCTTTCTTATAGGAAATCACCTGTCCCCACTCTCAGCCCATGGGCTTTGGGTAAGGTTAAATAAACCCTGTCTTCGAGGTTCCAGGTAATCACATGACCTGAACCTGGCCTGGCCAGTTCATGCATTCTATCAGGCTTTGACCTTTGTCTAGAACTACTAAGAAAGGCCTTTTCTCCTTCCCCAGGGTTGACTGCGCTCACGGACTCTACGTTGGCTGCTGGTGGCCATTACTGGCATCACTGTGGACAGCCTTCCTGAAAATCGAGGCAACAAAGAGGAAAGCACACTGTTGAGTAGAATAAAGACAGATGCCTGCTGCCATAGTTGGCATATCTAAATGTAGTCATGTCTGAAGACCACCTCTACCCTTTTCATTTACCTGAGCCAACAGGTTGCCTTTTTTGCTTAGTTCACATTGAGTTGTGTTCCTGTCACTTGCAACTATGAGTCTGACTAACCTAGTTGACATAAGAATTAAATAGCTGCTATAAAGTAAACAGCATAATACCCAGCATATGGAAAAGTTTAATAAATGATACCTACCACTGTTACTACTTCTTTACATTAGTTTCTTGAAAGTGGAAGACCTGGAGTCAGGTTTATCTCTACCCCATACTAGGATGTCCTTTCATTGAGTTTCTGAAACTAGTTTTACTATATGTAAAATCACCAACATTTTTGTGAGGAATAAATGAGAATATATGCCTAGCAAGGCAATTAAATGTTCTACAAATTTAAGTGAACCTCAGTCTATAGGCTTCAATCTGACATCTTATGTTACTCATGGGGAAACTAAGACCCCAAACCCTGCAGTGTAATTTGCCAAGAACATTGGGGAAGCTGTTGATTCAAACAAGCTACCAGTCCATGCTGACCAAGGTAGTCCCAGGACTGAGCGGAGGAGCTGATTCTGATACTGTGCTATCTAAATCAGGCATCAGTGCAGAGAGGCCTGACTGCCAAGGCTAAGGCACCTCCAGGACATGGAGAAAAGAGAAACTACTACTAAGTAAGCTCCATGTGCCATGCTCTGTGCAAGGCATGTCCTACCCTGGGATAATTTATTTCTCTTTGGTTCAATTAAAAAGATGAACTATGAGTACATATTGAAATTATCTAACTTCTTCTATCTCCAAGGAGGAAACCTAATATATAACTGGAGAAAGACACTAATTAATAAGCAAAATTTAAAATGAACTCCAGCCAACTTGAACTTGAACTGCTCTGCTTAAAGACACACTGGAATAAATAAAAGAACTTCAAAGCAAACGCCCTGTTTCAGCTTGAATGTTTTATTGAGCACATGGAGAGAGCTCCTTTGCCAAAAATAGGAATGGTTAATGAGGAAAAACTGGTGTTTTCAGTTGGTCCACTGGTTTCTGAGAGCCATCCATCCAGAGATAACTGTGCTCCACAGAGTAGACAGAATAATGATCTGTCTCAGAGCCTCAGAGTTTTAAGCAAAACAAAACCAGTTTTGTAAACTGAGATCAACCTAACGCATCCTTTCCCAAATACCTGTGATGATATGCACACATTTCCCTCCTACTAAAACCAAAACACATCCGTAATTCTAAAAGGAAGACATTTCTATGGTTTAAGCTTCTTGCCAACTATGTAAGTGCAGCCCTTGGCTTTTGAGGTTAGGCACAGGGACAGGAGGATGTGGGGCGCATCGGCAGGCTCCCCCAGAGCCAGCTTTCCTCGGACAGCATTTTGCAACGACCCTCCTCGCTACGAAGCCCCGGGTGCCCCGGGCGCAGGCGGTTAGGGCCGGATGCAGAGCGAAGGCCTGCCCCCCGTTTCTGCGCCCGTTTCCCCACAGGGGTCACCCGCGCCAGCGACAGGGAGTGGCCGGCTGTTCGGGAACGGAGGGGCCCGGGCTCACCTGCAGGTGCTGGGAGGCGTCGGCCAGGCTATCTTCTCGCCTGCGGACTTCCTCCAGGAGCTGGGCGTTCTTCTTCTTCTCCAGCTGCTGATTGTGCTTGAGGTTGGCCACCTTCTTACTCTGATCCTTCATGTGCCTGAGGAAAGTCAGCAGAGCTGGTTACACTCAGCCAGCAGAGGCCACGCGCTATCACAGTGCCCCGGGGTGCTAAGTGCGGCTGTGCTGCTACGAGGCGGGAAAGTTGGGGCTTCGGAACACTGTTCACCCAGCCGCACACGTGTGCTGGGCACCTACTTCCCACCAGGAACCAGGATGGCACTGGGGTTGCGGTGGCGAATAAGGCAGGGACAGTCTCCACCCTCCACGTGGAGCTTGGAGTCCAGCAGAGACAGACAAGCACCAAGAGGGCCCAGCTTAGGCCCCCTAATGTTAAGGAGACGAGCAGATGCTGTGAGAGGTGATGTGCTGTGCAGCGAGTGTGGACGGGCCACGGGGTGGAGCAGCTGACTTCACTCACTGTGTCCAGGGGCAACTCCCTAAGGAAACAAGACTGTGGGTGACGGAAGAACCAGCCAAGGAAAACACCAGCGAAGGAGCCTCCAGGTAGGGAGGACAGCAAATATAATTCCCAAGGCAGGAAAGAACCCAGCTACTTCTGGGAACTGCAAGGCTGCAGTGACGCTACCCCAAAGGGAGGGGCAGGGTGGGCTAGGGTAGGAGGTGGAACTGCAAAGGTCGGCAGGACTCAGGATGCACAGGGCCCTGTGGTCTGTGACTGTGACGGGACGTTCATTTTCTTCTAAGTGCTTGCTGTTCTAATTATTACTATTCTTTTGGATCCTGTTCTATTCTGAGATCATAATCCATTACTTTGATTTTAAAATAACAATTACAAGGCTCCAATCAAATACATTGTCATCGCTTAGCTCAAACAGAATAATGCTTTGGCTAATGATCATGTTAAATAAAGCCCCAGTGCTTGAGCTAGAAGTTCTTAATGAATCTATGGGATGTCAAAGTGCAAAATCATAAAGTGATCGAGTAGGTAAAAGACTAAGGATGAAGCACAGGTTAAAGCAGAGCAGGGGAGGGGGAGGCACTGGCCTCACGTGGACTAGTTCACCAGCAGCATTTAGCAAAACATTCCACAGATTTAGGCGACCGTGTCCACGGCAGCTGCTATAAATCTAATCCAACACGTGGGGAGGCAGGAGGGCAGTACCGAGGGCTCAGGAGCAGTGATTCCAAGAGCGGAGGGCCACGGAGCAGAATCATCTGGGGTCCTTTCTATCACTTCGCCCACTCTCCCCAGCATTGCAAAGTCCGCCACTGTTACTGAGCCCTGAGCCCCGGCCCCAAACAAGCATATTGAGAATCACTGCTCTCATGAAAGTATGAATGAGGTGAGACCTGGGTGATAGACAACAAACATGCCAAAATGAAACAACCGAGAACCAAATGGAAGCATTCTCAACAAGAAACTCTTATTTCTAGTGCTCATTAATTTATATACGTGTCTTCTCCCTCCCATTCCAAGAAAAAGGTCAAGAGAATTGTTTATTGAGCTGAAAACCTTCTGTTAGGAACCCTTCTAATGAAAATATCCTGAACCAACTGAATATTTGGTTCAGTTGCTTCAGAATATTTATAGAACCAACTGATGCAGCGATTTAAATATTCCTGGTGACACTCATTAAGAGGATATAAGGTAAGAAGACTAACCATCCCCTTAATCGTTATTGAGTTTGATTATTTCGGTCTGATATTTCCTTGCTTTTACCAGATACAGTAATGCACATGTATGAAACTACCAGCAAAGGCTACGTGCTAATCTACTTTTAGGAAAGCATCTTTTGGTTACTACAAAGATGTTAAGAATGACCTCTTGCTTCTTAATTGAACAGAGGTACAGAAGTTCCAAAGCTCACACTAACCCAGGGCAAGCACATGTTCTAGGTCCTGGAAGATAAGGTCAGTGCACAGGAATAGGAGGTGATGGAGTGTGCAGTGTTACTAGGGAGATTGTTTAATTAGAAGACATGATCTATAAAGAAATACTTTTTTATTACTTTGAAGCATACCCTTAAATAGAACTAACTGCTAAATGTTTTCCCCCCAAGTACCAGTGATAAATAGAACAGATTATAATTGCAATCATTTGTACAGTTAAAGAACTCCCACAAAGTTCCTGAGCAGACCTTACTCTGTGGGATACTGCAGGGTTTTTTCGATCTAAAAAGCAAAATCAAACTCCAAATCTGTGCATCCCTTAAAACTTTCCTGACTTAAGAGTAAGCAGCAATCAACTCATGCTATAGAGTTTAATATAAGAAAATACATGATTTTAGATGAACAGTTCAATGAGATTTTTTGCCTGTGTAATTACCACTATAATCAAGATACAGAACCTTTACTTTCCCCAGGAGTTCTCTTGTGCCCTTTTTACAATTAATCCCCTGCCTCCACCCCAGGCTTGGCAACCACTGATCTGCTCTCTGTTACTATAGATTAATGGAATCACACAGTATGTACCATTTTGTGTCTGCTTTCTTTCATTATTATTGTTTTCATTATTATCGATTAACAATGCAGTAACCATTCATATGTTGATCAATATTTGGGGTTTTTCCAGGTTTATAGCTATTAAACTAAAACTGCTATGAATATTTTTTTTTAAATAAAAGAATGAAAAATGGAAAACTGAAGTTCAGATGCTGGGATGGAGGCATAACTTGCTGGTAAGAGCTCATCAGGCTTTGAGGCATCTAGAGTCACATGGCCCCAAGTACAGGCCAGGAGATGCCTATGTTTCTCCAAGGGCTTATGTATATTTGTATATAAAAGAGAAAACAAAACTTTCTCTTCCTTTAAAATCTCAGCAGAAACAAGATACCATTCTTTACCCATCTGCTCTCAAAAACTTAAAAAGATGGAAAAATCCATTGTTAGAGAGGAAGCAGGAATCCAGCGCTCTCATATGTGGCCGGGAGGAGTGTCATTGACAAAGGCATTTTTGGAAACCAATTTGGCAGAATCCACCAAAGTGCACATACATCTTGCCCGAGCGAACCCACTTCTAGGAAAGCAGCCTACAAAAATTCTTGCACAAATATATATGTACAAAAATCTTCATTACAGTGCTGCAAAAGTGAAAATTTGAAAACTGCCTCATCACACACAAGGCAAATGGCTGAGACCAAGTCCATGTGCATTCGGGTCCCTAAGCCAGCTAACAGGATTAAGGCAAAACCAAAGTATGGAGATGGAGAAACCTTCAAGACATACTGCTAATTGAAAAAGAAAGCAGGTAGCAGAATGATATATGTAGTCGGATCTTGTTTATCGTAACATATAAAAGCCTGTTTGGATGGATATATACAAGCATGCATGGAAACGGAAACTCCTAGAAACCCCACACCGGCCTGTAAACGATGGCTGCCCGTGAGGAAGGGAACGGGTTTGGGCAAAAAGGAGAAGCTTACTCGTGTGTGTGTGT